GCAGGCAGGCCCCTGCGTCTGGGCGGACGCGGTCCGGTGGGGCTGGGGTGGGGCGGGGGAGGGCAGGGCCCAGACCCAGAAGAGCTGAACGAGGAAGACACAGTTGGAAACACTGGAAGGTCTCCCAGAGACCAGCGAGGGGAAATGAGTCTTTCAACCGGCAGTCGTGAGAGGGGCCCCCACCCCGCCCCTCCCAGGGCCCCGCCCCCACGTGCTCGTGGGGTCAGGGAGCCGGGTCGCGCCCGGCCCTGCGTGACGGGCGACGGGACGGAGGGGAACTGCGGCAGAGCGGGCTCAGAGAACGGGTTCACTGCGCACGTAGCCGTCACGGGCTGGAAGCCTGGGGGGTCCCGCTGGCTGGGCCCGGCCAGGCGCGGACGTCAGCCCGTGAACCGCCCCGTCCTCCCGCCGCCGCCACTTTGCAGATGGTTCCGGGCAGCCCTGCACAGTGATCTTTAGAACGAACTCCTTGCAGAAAATGCACTTCCTCACCCGGCCCTGGTTTGTCGAAAAGCACAGGTTCACTGAGGACGGAGTGTGCCAGGTTACGGACTCGCCTCCTTCCGGAAACCTCAAGGGGACGTGGTCCCCACTTTCGTATCTTTTAAAGGGCCAGGCAGGACTTTTCCCCACTCGTGTGAAAAAGTAACAAAGGTACCCGTCTTCTCAGCAGAAGACAGCACCCTCCACGGGGGGCACCCCGCCCCCACTGCGCCCCTTGTGAGCAAAGGGCCAGCCGCTGAACGGCGCTGACCAGGGTGGGGTGGGGGGGTCCCGGCTGAGCCGCCGGTGGGGACCAGGACGGCAGACACCAGCGTCTTCCGACGCTGCGCAGGACCCCACACGGTCGGGGCTCTGATGTATTCAACAAGACCTCGGGGTGTCCTTTCCAAGGGGGACGGAGCACATCTGAGCCCCCGCTGCAAGCTCACCGCGGCGCGGCCGCTCACGGGAAGTGGGTAATTAGTCCCCGAGTGCAGGCGAGCGCGGGGCGGGCGAGAGGCCGGTACTTGCGGGAGCCGCGGAGAGTGCGCGGCCCGGCGTCAGAACGTAACGGCGCTCCAGACCCGACCCGAGAACGTGCTTCTGTCTGCCTGCGCGCCGGCGTCCGCCCCAGCGTGTCGTGACCGAGCTCGCTGACTCGCGCTCTTCAATCATGCGAAACGAAGCCCACGTGCATTTCAGAGGGTCTGGGGGGGCTCCCCGTGTGAGAGGCTGGGGATGCAGCCCCAGGGGCCACAGAAGGACCAGGCGGGGGGGGGGGCGGGTTGTGGGTCCTGGGACCACCTCTGCTCCTCCTCTAGGTTCCAAGTGGGGTGCATGCGGCTCGGTGTGGGGACCCAACGGCCGGCCTCGGAAACCCACGGGTGGCCCTTCGTCCAGGTTTTGTTTTCCGTGCAATTCAATGTCCGTGCGTCGGTGACTTTCAGGGCGACGATCTCCTGCTGCGGACGAGTGGAGGTGCCGCCGTTCTCGGTGGGGGGGGGGCTTGGTTTGTGGGGGGGACGTCCCAGAGGATGCGGCTGCAACTTCAGGGCATCTCGCGTTTACACCCTAACGCAGGGCCGTGACCTCGCAGAGAATCCAACCCCACGAGCCTCTGGGGAGCACACCCAGGTTTCTGGCGCTTCCTCGAAAGTGGGTGCACGGGCGCGGCGGATCGGGGGACACGCCGGGTCTCCCGAGAGCGGGTGTCTGCCGTGTCACTGCATGTCCCCTGTCACCCTGGGTCGGGGGAGCGCTATTCTGTGCGTGCACTTCTGAAAGCGTGGACTTAGGAAAAGAAGGGAAGCTGGCTTGTGAGACAGTTCACGCAACAGGTGTCTTCACCTTGGGTGAGTGTGCCCATGACACACAGCAAACGTTCGTTTTCTCCGGGGCTGGGGCGCCTGGAAGGAGACGGAGGCCTCACCCCGTGCCGGACGGTTAATAAAACGGGGTGCTGTGCAGGGAAGGGGGCCCCTGGCTGAGGAGACACCGGAACAGAGCAGAGGTCCGGGGACCACGGGCTCAGGAAGTGAGTAATTCCATCCAGATCTTTCTCTTTCTCCTTTTAACCTTACGGCTTAGATATCAGGCTTTTGCCCCCAAATTACAAATTGCCTGAGTGGACGCAGACACAAAGTGGACAGTCGGGCAGTGAGCACCTCTGGGGGATGAGCAGCATCTCTCTTGTTAAATGTAATAATAAATCCACAGAAACAGCTGAACGGATCATTATTAATTCAGTCGTGTGAACTGGACTCTGATGAACTTAGAGAAAGTTGCCTATATGGCCAAGTGTGGGAAATCTGTGCATTTTCTGCAGCAGGAAACTGCGTATATTCTTAAACTTCGGGGACAAAGGCACCGGAGAAGGCTGATCTGAAGACTTCACTCTCTGCAACAACAACAGAACAGGCTAAGCTAGAACTTGACCCATCCTTTGGCTTACGTTTCTTGGTAGTCTTTTTGTTTCTTAACAAAGCAGCATAATTCATCATAGGAGATAGAACCTAGTTTCTCAAAATCACATTTATCAGAAAAAGAAAGTTTCAAAACCAACGTCCCAACAAGAACTATTTGTGTATCTTACATTGTACACTGTGCAAATGTCTCCATCGTAATCTCTGTGACTGTCGTTAGCTTTTCTTGCTGCGAGAACAGCTTCCATTGCAGCACAAAATAACCCTCCATTTCTGTTTTTCCTACAAATGTGTTTAAGTCTCTGTGACACTGGACGTGGCTTGTTTTCTGCTTTAGCCCCCTCACCTCATGCACGAGAGAAAGCCAGGTTCGGCCTTGTCTCAGCTGGGCGGGGGGCCGGGGGGCAGCCTTGAGGAGCTGGTCGGAATTCAGGGGGGCTCGTTTTCCAGCACCTTGCCCTCTGCCGTGACGCGTGTGAAGGACCGATGTCCCCGGCCAGGTGAGCCTACGGGAGTCTGACAGGTGGGGCCGAGACAGAGCCAAGTGGAGCGCGGGTTTTCCTGCCGTGGACCCAGGCCCGACGCATCCCAGGGGTTTCCAACGGTTCACGTTTCGTAAGCTGGGACCGCAGGTTCGGTCTCACACTCGCAAGTCCTTTCCAGTCATCTCTAATCGTGCTCAGACAGTTTCGAGAAGACAGAGGGGAACGCCGGAACGGCCCTGCACCGCAGGGGCACTGGGCCAGCTTAGAGGCCGGAGGCCCCAACAGCGCGGCGTCCGCCATACTCTCCGCTGGCGGGTAACCGGCGAGTTTTCACCCTCCCGTCTCACCTGGAAACCAGTGTCGCGTCCAGGGCTCACGGGGTCTGCTCCAGTGCCAGCTGCTCGCTGACTTCACGTCGGGGCACAGACGGGGGGGAGGGGGGCGGCAGGAGCGTGTTTAATGCAGAATTGGTGGCTCAGGTGTAAGCACGGAAATCACCACGGACACGTGTCCTCGGCACACGCAGGGCAGCCTGACTGTCAGAGCATCCAGAGACCCCCCACGCGGGCACGCGCCTGTGCACAGGCTAGACCTCCCGAGAAAGAGCGGCTGCACCGGTGCGTGGGGGGTGCTGGGGCCGCTGCCCGCACCGGTGCATGGGGGTGCTGGGGTCGCTGCCTGCACCGGTGCGTGGGGGTGCTGGGGTCCCTGCCTGCACCGGTGCGTGGGGGTGCTGGGGTCCCTGCCTGCACCGGTGCGTGGGGGTGCTGGGGTCGCTGCCCGCACCGGTGCGTGGGGGGTGCTGGGGCCGCTGCCCGCACCGGTGCATGGGGGTGCTGGGGTCGCTGCCTGCACCGGTGCGTGGGGGTGCTGGGGTCGCTGCCTGCACCGGTGCGTGGGGGTGCTGGGGTCGCTGCCTGCACCGGTGCGTGGGGGTGCTGGGGTCGCTGCGGGCTGGGTTTGCTGCGCCTACCCTCTGAGTCGCAGCACGGTGCGGCTGCTGAAGACACAGCAGGTGTGGGGGGCGGGGCACACCCTTAGCGTGATGTGAGTAAACACACACACACACACACACACCTCTCTACGCTTTTCTCCGGAGGCCTCTACAGATACATTGTCTAAACACTGTGCTGTTAACCGCTCAGCAAACTTCAGGAGAGGAAGTTACTGTAACCGTTTCCCTCCCTCCTCCTGGGTGCGTGTGGACTCGGATGCCAGGTGTCTTTGTCCTCACTCTGCCTCCCGGTCACTCGGTGGTTACGAGGACCTCAGGGCAGGTGCCTTAAAACAATGGGGTGACCACTGGCTGAATGAACGGCCAGTGTCGGTCACCTCCACCTGAGTGGCCCAGGGACGCAAAGAAAAGCAAAGTGTCCGGCCAGAGCCCACCCACCCACCCCCCCCAGGTGAAAGGGCACCGGCCATCCGGCTGGGCTGCACCTAAGGGACCAGGCGTCCATGCGCCAAAGATCATTAGCCACCAAGATCCGCGTCTGAGCGCATCTCCGGTAGCCAGGCCCCTGCCGGCGGTCACTGAGGGTACCAGATGGCCCATTAGCATGGGCTCGACAAGTCACAGGCTTTCAGACTCATTTAGAAAATGTCAAACAGAAACAAGAACCCTGTCACTTTTTATTAGAACTAACTACATCAGACGCTGGGCACAGATTTCACCTTGGGTCGGAGAAACGAATACAGAATCGCGTGAACCCCGAGACACAGGGGCTAGGATGGTTCGGTCTCCCTCCGGGGGACCCGTTTGCTGGCATTTTGATGGTCCCGCTCCCCCCAGAGCCCTCACCCCGTCCCCCGGGGACGCTTGCGAGGCGCTGACCTTGCCCGAGACCCGCCGGCATCTGCCTGACGGGAGGGAGAGGCAGGCGTGCAACAAGGTGCTCTTCCCTCAGCCCGATTCTGAGCATTCGCCCGGGACCCCGGGTGCACGGGCCCGGGGGGGGGGGGCTGGCCAACGCCCCCCGCATCGTCGAAAGCTCACTATCTGTCGGGAGGAGACTCTCTCCCTGACCTGAGCCTCCGCGGCCGCAGGACACGGCGAGGAAACGCCACGGGAATCACGTGCTTCTTTTCTTGTCTTCCTCTCTCCATCCAGACGTGAAGAACCTGGAGAACCCCCAGCTGGCGGAGGGCGTGCAGGAGCAAGTGAACGCCGCGCTGCTGGACTACACCACCTGCCACTACCCGCAGCAGCCGGAGAAGTTCGGGCAGCTGCTGCTGCGGCTGCCGGAGATCCGGGCGCTCAGCGCGCAGGCCGAGGAGTACCTGTACTACAAGCACCTGAACGGGGACGTGCCCTACAACAACCTCCTCATCGAGATGCTGCACGCCAAGCGGGCCTGAGCCGCGGCACCCGCCCCCCCCAAGCTCTGCCGCCGGGCCGGGAGCAGGCCAGTGGGGGTGGGCGGGGAGGACGGGGCAGAGGAAGACACAAAAATACTCTGAACGGCTGCTCCCGGCGACACTCGCGAGACACTTGGGTTAAAGGGGTTGCATTGGAGGGGCGTAATAATCAGATACTTCGTAGCAAATGAGGGACGGATCAGGGTATGTGTACTGTAAACTGTGAACCGAAGCTCCACGTGCCCCCCACGGAGTCCACGTGAGTGGCGGCCGCCGAGGGCCACGGGCTCGCAGGCGGACACCAGCACCACACACGGGAGGGGGAACGCGGGCTGGTCGTGCCATTGCGGGGTGTCCCCACGCGTCCCCTCGAGGAGGCCAAGGGGGGGCCGGTCCGCGCTGTCAGTGATGCCCCTGCCGCCGGCGGTCTGAGCTGACGCAGGCCCTCCTCGGTGAGGCCAGCCCGAGACTCTGCTCGCGGCCCCGTCGGCCACCCCCCGCCGAACGGCCCCTCCCTCTCCCCCTCAAGGACCCGGCACCTTCTGTCTGGTGATCGATCAGTGAAATTGATCGTGGAGCCTCTACCAAGGACTCAGCCGCACCCACTGCAAGCTCCGCCAACTCCCAAAAAGCCTAATTTTCAGTATCTGTGTCTGAGACGGGCTAAGAGCTAAAAAGAACGGTCAGGCAACACATGAGCTTGCCACGTCAATATGTCCTGGTTGGTCACGTGTTTGTCATGTTTAAAAAAAAAAAGCAGGCCGAGTCCCTCTTCTGATCCCACGCAAACAGCGTGCGTGCGTGCCACGGGAAACAACCGCACACTTGCACCCCCGAGCACCCCCGCCGAAGCGAGCTAGGCCTCGTTTCTGCTGCTGCCCCCGAAGTGCGCTCTGGCACGGCTGGGTTCCACGGGAAAAGATCCCTGGTCCAAAGGCTTGCGAGGATACGGCGGTCTTCGTGAGCACCCGAGTCCGTGGTTCGTTCGAGAAGGAAGCTCGCGTCCTCTTTCGCCGGGACGTCCCGTCGCCGCAGCCGTCAGAAGCCGAACACGTCCCGCAGCGCGTGGGGAGCCACGCGGACGGAGAGACGGGGAGAGCGGACCGACCGGTCGCTCGCTCGGACGGCCCCTCGCACGGGACGGGAACGGGGGTGCGACCCGTGGCTGGGAAGACGGGAGCGAGACCCAGGTCCTTCCCGGACGGGAAAGGACCGGAGCGGCCCTGACCTCCCCGCGCCAGAGACCAAAGCCGGCAGCACGGACCCCGGCGGGCGGAGGGCCGCCCAGCCCACCTGCCAGAGGCCGCACTCGCTCGGCCCTCCCGGCACGCACGGGCGCAGGTGGGGGACTCTTGCCTTATGTCGCTCGTCCGGACGGGGGCTGAACCAACGTCTAAAATAAAGTATTAACACTTTAAAAGTCTCATGAGATATAGTGTTTACATTCTTTAGGTCCTGTGGGGGGGGTGGGGAGGGGACCGTGATAGGACGAAGTAGCTCAAGCAGTAATACACTCAACGTCACTCTTCTGATCGGAAATTACTTGGAACGGTGCTGAATCATCGTCGTGAGACACTAAAATCAAGAACGGGAATCGCATTCAAGACTTTAATTCTGTTTTGAGATTATCAGCGGCACAATCACGTGTAGAAACTGTAAAAAAAGAAGAAGAAGAAGAAGTATCTCCTAGTCCCTTAATTTTTTCATAAATGTTTCTGGCTTTTGAATAGTTTATTTATATTGTATATCATAGTTTCGACTGTAGACAATTATGATGCTAATTTATTGCTCCTTGGTCTCACCTCTGTATAGACGTAGCCAAGACCGAAGAAACCAAATAAACGTGTGTGTGTGTGTGTGTGCGCTGCGGCATGTCTTCAAGTCAGTGGGGCACAGTTCAGGGACGGAGAAAGGTCTTAATGAATTAAAATCATCCACTTGATCACATGCCTGTAAATCTTCCTAATTATTTCTGTAGTTTATTTAACGTCTGTTGTAAATTACGTGACCGGTAGCCTCCTGTTTTCCAGCGAATTGCGCGAGGGCGGCGTCTTTCCTGGTTTCCCCTTCCCAGCATCGTAAGGTGTAGACCAAAGACATTAGTTGTTGCTTCTGTGTGTGCAGGGAGGGTTACTTCGTTATTCTGATCCACCACCTCGACTCCTCGTCCACGTGAAGGGTGCACATGCCCACGCGGAGTGTCCGCGGCCCCTCCCGCAGAGTCTCGGTCCCCTGGGCTCCCCTCTGGCCCACGGGACAGCGGGAAGGGGCCGGCCGGGGCCCATGTCCAAGCGGTGAGCAGGACGGCGGCGTTGCTTCTCTCCCGTGCAGAGCCCGGGTGGCTAGAAGACACGCGCAGGGGAGACACATCGACAGCTAGTGGAACGGTTCTGTCGGGGACGGAGGACACTCGGGAGATCGAGGGGAAGTTGTTTGGAGGGTCTTGAACACTGCAAAAAGAAAAAGAAAAGAAAAAAAGCCTCCCCGGTGCATAAGAAACCTAAAAAATGTCAAAGATGAGTATGTTGTTAGCCGAGTGAATCACACCGAGAGGCCCCCCTGCAGACGGCTGGCGGCCCCCCCGCCCTGGGGCTGGCAGGTACAATGAGTCCAGTGTTCACCGTTCACCTCCGTCACCACACAGCTCCTTAGCAACCGAGTCACCAGCGCGTGGCGGGACTCCTTGGGAAGATCAGCCCGGTGGGCGGCAGTGGGTCGGTCTGCCCGCAGGCGCTCTGCGGCGTCTGGGTCCTCGCACGCTGTCCCCCTCCTGCTGCCCGGGGCCTGAGCGCACGCCGTGTCGAGAGTGTGCCGTCGGTCACGAGCTGACGTTTGCTTACTGTACCAGTGAAATGCACATTGTCATGTCTGTTCTTGCCAGGAATTTGTCAGCCAAATGTTTTCTTTTCCCAGTATTTCAATAAACATTGATATGTGCAGCCTGATCACTGTGGAATGCCTTTCTGTTCTCTCTCTCCGGGAGACGGGAGCTCCAGGGCGGCGGAGGCACTCGACTGGGGGGCAGCCAGAGGAATTCCCCGCAAATAGATACATTCCGCGCAAATAGATGCATTTCCTGGCCGGATGTGTCCTGGAGTGATCCAGCGTCCTTAGCCGGATACTTCAAGCATTCGACTCAGTGTGTACCTGCACGCAAAATGGAACGATTTCTGTCGCTCACTCTCAGAGCTGGTGGGCAGAGACGCCTCGCTGCATCTGATTTTTTGGCCGCGCCCCTGCGCTCCGACAGTCCTCCCAAGGGCCGTGCTCACTCACGTCGGCCTCAGAGCAGCCCCGGGCGCCGTCCGTCTCCTCGCCTGAGCGCTGCCCGCGCGGAGCAAGGCGCTGGTTGCTGGCGGGAGGCTGGACCCCGGGCGCGTGGCCCCAGGGTCTGTGCCGCTGGCCACGCCACACCGTCCCTCACCCGGGGTCGCCCTCGGGGTTGGCTCCGGAAAGAAAGGGCAGCAGAAATCCAGGCAGCTGGTCGCCGCTATCAGACACGTAACCATAGCTTAGAAGCAAACGCCTTGGCCCTTTACGGGGTTTTAGCGCCAAAAAGGAGCACGTCTGTGCTCTGGAAATTCGCCTCCTTCAGGACAGCTGGGTCTTCAGAGATGTTTGCGGCAAGAAGGTAACCTGCAACCACCCGTTCTGGGTGTTAGGAATCACCTCTATTATCCGCAAAACCCTTCACAGTGCGAACAAACCACGGTGGCCCAACCCTCCCCTCCCCCGCCCCCCCCTCCCCACCTCCGCTCAGGTGAGCCAGAGTCGGCCCCTCCCCTCCCACCAAACGGACTTTCTCAGGGTCCTACAAAAGCCCCCACGGGATCAGGTCCAGGCGCGCAGCACCACACAACACTTAGTGGCAAACCACACCTCCCCCGTCGACCTCTTACTTGCAAGAGCTTAAAAAAATAACAACTCTTGCTGACCTCCCAGGGAGCGTAAACACGTATTTGTGTTGAACTGGACTAACGTCCCAGAAAGTGCGTGTGACCCATTCCCACACCTGAACACACCTGGGTGGTCATCACACGGGTGACGCAGGACACAGGACGTCATCTTCATTTTTTTTATTTATTTATTTTTGCTGAATTTTTAAAATTTTATTAATTATTGTTCAGGTACAATTTTCCACATTTTACTCCCAGCCCAGCCCACCCACCCAGCCCTCCCCACCTCCCTCCCATTTCCAGACGTCACCTTTAAAATGTCCTCACCAGTGGCCATGCGTGGGGTTTTTTTTGGGGGGGGGGGGTTGCTGTGGTCGTTAATCATTGTGGGTTTGCTGCCCCATGCACGGGTTTTAAAAGTAGGTTGGGGGGGAGGCTCTCCAAAGCCCGAGGCACAACCGCCGAGGTCACGGCGTGAGACCCGGGCCGCGGCGCCAGCCCTCAGAGCCACGCGCCCGAGGTGGCCAGCTCCATCAGCGCGGGGTGGCCGGAGAGGAACCCAGCGCAGCCGGTGGGCGCGGGGTGGCTCCAGCCGATGCTCACGGTCACGGGGAAGAGGCCCACCCCCTTAACTGAGTGTGGCATCCGGCTTGCAGCCGCCTCTGACGGGCATCTTCACCGGAAACCCTGGGGGAGGGTGTCCAGCCCCACGCAGGTCAGAGCGCGGTGGAACTCGGTGGTCCGGACCCGCCCCTGGAACCGCAGAGCCCGGGCTCCCCTCGCGCTGCGCAGGGAGGGCAGAGCCGCGTCCCCTCAAGGGGCCGTTCCCACGGCTCCTCCTCTCCCGGGGCGTCGGCCCGTCACAGGGGACGGCCCGTCACAGGGGACGGGTCTCAGGCTGCGGCTGCAGTCGTTTCTGTCTGCAGACAGGCCGAGCCGGTGGGGAATGCCGTGTGTTTAGCTGTCACCAGGAGAGAGGGACCGAGGCACAGAGGGGGTGGGATCGGACTCGCCCTGCCCCCCTGGAGTGAGTGTGACACAGAGGACTGAGCACCCCCCTCGGCGCCCGAGCGGGGGCCGGTGTGCAGCGGACCCCCTGGGGCTGTGGGTCCCAGGCCGGACCCCCTGGGACCCTAGATCTGAGACCGCCCTCCGGCCGCGTCCGTCCGAGGGGGCCCAGGGGGGACCAGGGGGCAGCTGGTCAGCATCGCACTTCTCAGCGAGGGAGGCCGCCGTTCGCGACCCCAGAACTGACCGTGTGAGATTCTGTATCCACACGCCCCCCACCCAGACCTTCCACACAAAAGGGCCCGGACCCCCGGACCCCCAGACCCCAGGTGAGACTCAGGCGGGGAGAAGGCAACTGCTCTTCTTGAAGCCGCTGACTTTGGGGGCCTCTGTCCTAAAGCGTGGCATTCACCCTAATGCGCAAAGGGGGTTCCTGCGAGTCCTCTGGGCAGCCCCATCTCGGGACCGAGGGGTGGGAAGTGTGGGGGGGGGAGTTAAGCAGCCCACGACTCTGCCCACAGCGGGGCGGTGATGGGGCAGGGTCCCCGCAGCCCAGGGTGGTCATCAGCCCGAGCTCTCCAGCCTGGGCTGCGGGGTCTTCCCGGGGGTCTGGGCCTTCCCACCCCCTGCAGGGCCGACTCCATCCACTACCCGTGCGATTTCTCCCGAGTCGAAACAAGCGGCAAGGATGGGCGTGTGTCTGTAAGTGATAACACCGAAAACACACGTGTTCTCGGTCTCCGCGAGAGCCCAACCAGGCGTCCGCTCTCAGGGGGCAAGAAACGTCTCCACGGCCCCCTTGCCTGGCCCAAACATCCGTCCCCACTTTCAGGGTCACCCGCGTTTCCTCGGACCTCAGTGTGACCAGCCGCTTCCCCGGCATCTCACCAGGAAGCCCTCTGAGGGTCGCCCGCACGCGGGGAGCGCAGGGGGCCAGGAGAGTGAACGGCGGCGGCAGCCGCGTGGGTGAAGGGAAGAGGTTCTGCCCCCGCCACCCGCGGCCTGTCTCCCAGGCGCTCCCTGGTGAAAACAAAGGTCTGTCCCCGCGAGTCTCCCCGGGGCGAGTGGGGGCTGCGCACAGCTCCGCTCCGGGGTGCGTGCGCTTCTTCCTGCAGACGAGGAGCGTGGGACCGCGTGCCCCCCGCCCCCCAGCGCTGCCGTCCCAGCTCTGACTTCCCCTCTGTTCCCGCCGCGGGGCCTGGCGTCCAGTGTCCGGCGCTCCTGCGGCCACTGTGTGGCCTGGACTCCAGCCACGCTCCCCGGGCAGCACCCTCCCCGCGCCCTTGTCACCGGGGCCTGGGAGCGGTGGCCCCACCTGGGTGGGGGACAGGGAGGAGCCTCACCTCCCTCGACAGGGACTGCCTGGCACCCAGCGCCCAGGCCACCATCTCAGCGCCCACCCCCACCCCCACCCCGGTCTCTCGTGAAGGTGAGGACGGCGATGATGGACAGTGAGTCTCCCCCTGAGAGGGCCAAGCCCCCCGTTAGCTCCATCCCCCCCAAGTTCTCACGGCAGCCCCGAAGAGGGCAGGATCCGGGCCCCGTGTGCCCGAGGAAGCCTTGGCCTCAGGACCGGGCGCTCCCAGAGGCTGCACGCACAGCTGGTCGGGGCCAGGAGGCCCACCCGGCCCCCCCCCGACCACACGGCCCAGGTGGCTCGCCCGGCCGGGCAGGAGTCTCCCTCCCGAGTGGCACAGGGTCTAGGAGACAAAACACCAGCCAGACGGGCGGTGAGACGCCGGTCCACTTTTCCTCTGACCGCCTGCCGGACGCATCTTCCCCTTCCCGGCGTCCGCCGGGACGTGCCCGCGCCGAGAAGGGGCAAGGAAGCAGCCCGATGCCTCGCGGTCGGCTCACGCACTTGGAAACGGCCCCCTTGGCGTGGCGAGACCCAAGGTCCGGGCAGCCTGGCCCAGTGGTTTCTGCTCCGGTGCTGCTGCTTGTGTGTGTGTGTGTGTTTCGTTTCGTTCTGATGCACACGGAACTCTGACCGGAGCGGGGTCTATGCTCAACACGCAAACACGGGCGCCTCTCGCAGCCCGACGGCCCCCTGGAAAGTGACCGTCAGAGAGACGCCGGCGGAGGGGCCGAGGCTGCTGACCAAGGCGCAGAGGGCCGAGCGGCGGCGGGGGACCTTGCGAGGGGACTCCCGGCCGAGGAAGCACGAGACCCGCAGACCAGCCCCCGGGCGTGAGCGCAAAACACGGAGGAGTTTTTATTTAAAGGAGGTGTGAGGAGGCCGTCACACACGACGAAGAAAAACCCTGCAGCGTAGGGCCACCCAGGCACCAAGGAGAAGCGCGCGTTTTTCCCGACGAGCCAGCGGCACCGGCACCGGCACCGGAGGGGCCCCCGGAGCGCGCTCAGCACTTCCTGCGCCGCCCCACCCGCACCCCCGGGCCTGGGCGGGCGGTGGCTCGGGGAGGGGGGGAAGGGGCTTTCCACCCCCCTGATTTACGGCCGCGGAGATGCCCGCTTCCTGTTTTCCCGCCGCGGCAGGAAACGGCCCGGAGCTGCCGCGCCGTCCGCAGAGGCGAGGGTCCGAGGGAGGCCCCGGGCGGCCGCGGGCGCCCACGGGGGACGCCGCGCGCTCGTGCGGAGGAACACAGTTCGCTGCCGTCGCAGGAAGCAGGAAGGGGGGCCTGTTTGCGAGCAGCCAGCAAACACCCGCTGTCAATCCTCCCTCTCTGGGCTTCTCCGGTCCCCCCCCAGCAGACCACACTCTGCCCCTCCCGCCCCATCCACGGGGTTTCCTCCCGAGGTCAGGCATGAGGGGACACCGACGCCACACGCCTCTGTCCCCGAGACCCGTCCGAGCCTGCGCCCTTGTGGGGGGGCCACTGTCCTCCCCCGACCTCCGAGTCACCCCCGTCCTCCGCGCCCGCCTCCCCAGCTCCCACAGAGACCCCCATTTCCTCGTCTGTCCCGGTCCTGAATGGGACCCCCCGGGCCTCTCCCCTCCGTCTGCCCAAATCCCAGAGACGAGGTCGTCCGTCCGTCGGCCCCGGTTGTCCCCACGGGTCCCCAAGTGCCCGGGGAGG